AAGACCTTGCATGTAGGTCCCGGCTGCGTATACCAGCCAGTACACAATCTGGCTACGTTAGTGTGTTAGCGCATGCGCAACATCTCACCAAAGGAATTGTGTTTTGTGATGAATATGCATTTAAAATAGTTAGGGAGTATCTGAGCATGGATTTCCCTAATAAACTTTTATTAGTGGACCTGCGTTTATAATTACGAGAGCGCCCTAGCATGTAGGGTACAAAACACCTACTTTATGCCCACGCGTCCTTCCCCTTGCCTCCCCTGTTCCTCGCTCAGCCTCCTTCTTCTTCTACTGCCTCCAGCTATCTTCCCTGCCGCCTTTGCTCAGTCTCCCATCCCCTCTCCCCTGCAGCAAGCGATATTATCAAGTTCTCCTCAGATGGCACTGCACGCCTAACGCGATGCGCGCGCATGCGCAATATCTCCCAAGAGAAATTGTATTTGGCAAAGATTATGCATTTAAAATAAAGAGGAATTATCCTAGCATAGGTTTATATGATAACATTCCATCAGTAGAAATCATTTACGAAATAGGAGGGAAACCTTGCATGTAAGGTCCCGGCTGCGTATACAAGCCAGTACATAATTTGGTTACATTAGTGTGTTAGCGCATGCGCAATATCTCACCAGATGAGTTATATTTTGTGATGAATATACATTTAAAATGTTTAGGGGATATCTCAGCATAGATTTCCCTAATAAACTTTTATTAGTAGACCTGTTTTTATAATTAGGAGAGCGCCCTAGCATGTCGGGTACAAAACACCTACTTTAGGCCGTCGCGTCTTTCCCCTTACTTTCCCTGTCCCTCGATCAGCCTCCTTCGTCTTCTACCGCTCCCAGCTATCTTTGCTGCCGCCTTTCCTCAGTCTCTCATCCCCTCGCCCCCCAGCAAGTTATATTATGAAGTTTGCCTCAGACGGCACCGCACGCCTAACACGGTGCGCGCGCATGCGCAATATCATCCGAGGGTAATCGTATTTTGCAAAGTTTATGTATTTAAAATGAAGAAGAGTTATCCTAGCATAGATTTATATGATAATATTTAATCAGTAGACATTTAAGAAATAGTAGGAAGACATTGCATGCAAGGTCCCCGCTGCGTATACCAGCCAGTACACCATCTGGCTACGTTAGTGTGTTAGCGCATGCGCAATATCTCACCAGAGGAATTGTGTTTTGTGATGAATATGCATTTAAAATAGTTAGGGGGTATCTTAGCATGGATTTCCCTAATAAACTTTTATCAGTGGACCTGTGTTTATAATTACGAGAGCGCCCTAGCATGTAGGGTTCAAAACACCTACTTTATGCCCTCGCGTCCTTCTCCTTGCCTCCCCTGTCCCTCGCTCAGCCTCCTTCTTCTTCTACCGCCCCCAGGTATATTCCCTGCCGCCTTTCCTCAGTCTCCCATCCCCTCTCCCCCGCAGCAAGCTATATTATGAAGTTCTCCTCAGACGGCACTGCACGCCTAACACGATGCGCGCGCATGCGCACTATCTTTCGAGAGAAATCGTATTTTGCAAAGATTATGCATTTAAAATGAAAAGGACTTATCCTAACATACATTTATATAATACCATTCCATCAGTTGACATCATTTAAGAAATAGGAGGAAGACCTTGCATGTAAGGTCCCCGCTGCGTGTACCAGCCAGTAAACAATCTGGCTACGTTAGTATGTTAGCGCATGCGCAATATCTCACCAGATGAGTTATATTTTGTGATGAATATACATTTAAAATGTTTTGGGGATA